TTCTATACAGCACATGCAATTTTCCAAAATGATTAATACTAGTTCACAAAGCAAAAATTATACAATGTAAAAGTATGTACACTGTGTTTTTATGCTGCAGTATATGAACTGTGGGTAGTCCTATAGTCCTATAGTCTTTATGCTATAGCAAAACATTTCTGTTCTCACTCCCTACAACTTTTATGTGGTTCACAATAATAACATAAATTCACACAAACTATTTTTATAACAGTGTTGATTTAAAATTTTAGTGCTAAAATACAATCACAATACATTGAACCCAGAACATCACATCAGCTGGGCATACAATAACACTTAACTGTTCTTTCAGACAGTGTTTATTTAAATTATAAGCCTCATTTCAAGCTTATTTACACAGAAAAGCTCTCACAGGGGATTTTAACCTCACCTCCTTTTTCACTTTTCCATGTGTGCTTGCAACAAATCTTTGACACACACTATCTCTACAATATTGTTTATACAGCCACTCATCTCACTTGTCCTTTTCCATCATTTGATTTTGGCCTTAATTTAACACACTGCTTCTGTTTTAATTTTGTTTACATGAGTAATCTCATCATAAGTGATTCTGTATAGAAGTCATTCAGTCTCACACTAAAGCAACACTTTCCCCAAAACAGCACAATAATTAAACTCATAGGAACATGCAATGGCCATTCTGAGGCTGTGCCCAGACATCTTCTCCCTCTCTCAGATTTTAATCACAAATGGCACAATTCTAGCTATCAGCAATTCAGTGGTATGGTAGAAAAGATGGTGTTAATGAAGGTTTATTCCCATTTTCCATTGTTGGGAACCCAGAGCTTAACAAAAATAATGATGAGCCTTTGTCTCATCCACATACACACACCTCAGCTGGAAAGTCTCCAAAAACATAAATGTAACAATAATGATATCCTACAGATCACAATACATCTGCTCCGTTGACACACAGAACAACAATAGCTGTCATACTTTCAGTATTGAAGTAGTTCTAGGGTTGCTCAAAAATGGCATTGGCTCTGGTTAGTAAAGTCAAGCAGAAACTATTGTTCCAAGCAAGAAAGTAGAAGCCACAGACACACAAGTAAGGGGGCTAGTTTTCATCTTACTTTATCTATATGGCTCCCATTTCTGGGCATGGTTTTGGTTGTTGCTTATCTGACACAACTTAAAAGTAAGTGGCATATTTCAACTAATATTAAGAAAAGATACCTTGAGTTAGATTCAGTGTAAATGGGTCTCCAAATGCAACAATCATTGCAGTTAAATTATACAACCAAGTACCGGTAACTATATGTATAGCTTCAACATACATTCAAGGCTAATTCTATTTAAATTTCCACTGCTTCAATGATTCCTATTTAAATTTCTACAGCTACAATAATTTGAAGTGAAACATTATTCAGTGGCATTATAGTATGTGAATGCTTTGTACTTACATTTTTGAACAGCTGGTCTGCAAGTTCTCTGACATGCTTTAACATTTTTGATGAATTGCTTTCCTCAGATTTAATTCTCTCTACTTCAAATGCTACCAACTTAAAGGGGAGAAAAGGTTTTAGTTGAAAAAATTAACTATTTTCTGGAGAGTAAAGTAACTCTTTTCAGGATCTAAAATAAAGTTTCATATAATGAAGACTTTGAGAAACAGTCCTGCTGCCAAGGACCCCAAACCAGAAGCTGCAACTGGCAGAAGACTGGCTCAGCCCCACTAGTCTATACAGGCTTGGTCAGTCTGAGTCGTCCATTTTGGACATTCATGAACCAGACTTTAAGCTTGACCTGACACTCTTCAATCCAAGAAAGGACTTGTATGCTACATTATATGGTACTTTTTATTGTTGTCCACTGAAACACCTTCTGCATGCACCCGCATTTCCCAGGATTCATATATGCTGGTTTATTGCCCAATCATGAATTTGAAACCAACACTCCTCTAATGAAAAGACAAGTCTGCCCCATCATACTGCACACATCATGCAACATCTCTAACTTCACTTTTGCGGAAACAGACTCCAGAAGTAGGATATTATATTTGATGAACCATTTTTAATCTGGTAGTATAGTTCTTTAAAATAATATTGACAACTATCAATTTATATAGCACATTTAATATGCTAAGCATTATTATTATTATTATTATTCACTAAATTTCTATACTGCCTTTCATCCGAGGATCACAGGGCAGTTTAGAATATAAAAACACAAAAATACATAACACAGTAACAAAAAAATATGTATGAAAATTATATATTATTGAAATATATGAAAATATATGAAAACCCCCCCCCCCCCTTCAGTTAAAAGGCCATAAATTGTTTAGTTAGCCGAAGGCCTAGGGGGAGAGGAATGTTTTTGCTTGGCACTTTAATATATGAACCTTCCTGGGGAAAGTATTCCACAAGCAGGGAGTCACCACAGAAAAGGTCCATTCTTGTGTTGCCACCCTTCGGACCTCAGATGATGAATGCCGGGTGTGGGTCAGTTCAATATGCAGTTCATGTTTTAAATACATGCTATATTGTTACGGGAATGTTTTGTCAAAATCTGTTAGCTTTTGTATGTATTGTATTCAGCATTCAGAAGCGTACACAGCAAATCAACAAAACAAACCGATTGCAAGGGAGCATAGAAACACCGTAAATAAATAAACGTGATTCCCCAATAGTTCGTTATTCTTTTTTATAAATTGTTAAATTTATGGCACTTGTCATGCCAGTTATGAAAACCCAACTGTTTTATTTTAAAAGCAATATTTGCCCATTCCCATTTCTTCTCTGCATTAACACACTCCCATAAATGTCATACAGAAAGATTTGTAGGAGTATGTAAAACCATGTTATAATATTGCCATTGCAATTTTTAAAGATTCTAAACTGTCCGTAACATGCAGTAGTCACTTTTTATTTATTATGACAGGGCTTACAATATGTTCTCATGCATTCATTATGCCTGTGAATAGTCCCATTGGTTCCACACCTTTTTTTAAGAACTTAGAATCATTTTCTTTAAAAAAAAATGCATTCAGCAGAAAAAAATCCCAATTGTTTCCAGTGAAATTATTTGCAGGAAAAAATGTAATGACTACACAAAAGGAGGGCTTCAGAGGTAATTCACTGCAGAATTTTTCACAATGATATATTTCATAATGGGGAACCAGTGTGGTGTAGTGGTTAGAGCACTGGAACTTGGGAGACTCGGGTTCAAATCCACACTCAGACATGAACCTTGGGCTAGTCACTGCCCAGCCTACCTGACAGAATTGCCGTGGGGATAAAAAATGGAGGGGGAGGGGAGAACCATGTATGCCATTTTCTTGATTGGAGGAAAGGTGGGGTATAAATGTAATACACAAATAATGTGACAAAAGCATTACTTTTATGACAGAAAAAATTGTTACAGAAATTTAAGTATGAATATTTTCTCTCACTTTCATATTTCTTTTTAAATGTTTCTACCTCATCAAAGAGATCACAGGATCTGTAAGGAGGACCTCTCTCTGACACAAAACCAGCAAATGCCATTCCATTCAGAATTTTGGTAAGAAAATCATTCTCAATCAAGCCTCTCTGGCTCAGGAAGGCTGCCTGTGGAAACAAGTAAATGTTAACCATGTAAACACATTTTTTCATATCATTGTACTTAAGAGTCAAAACAAGCAAACACAAAAAGATGGTTGCAATAGAAAGTAAGATACAAAAGCAAAGAATGAGCACCTAACACTTTTTATAAAACCAAACAGTGAACTTGCATAGCATCAAGGTTACTGTAAACAGAAAATTTTCCATCAACACACACATTCTCATTCCAACTATGTTTGGAATGCATTCAGAACTCTGTTTTCTTTCAGCAAACAAAATTATGCAAGGTAAGATGTAAAAGTTACATATTAAATGCATTTAACAGCTATGGGGTAAAAAACAACAACTAACTAGTACTAAAGCAAAATTAGGTGACGATAAAACATGAGCATTTTCAATCTTGATTCTCACTGAATCCATTGGGATATGGTACTATTTGAGGGGTTTTTTGAGCCACCTAATATGATGCCTCCTTCCCCTTCTTCTAGGGCATTGGAGGATGCAATAGGACAAATGAAGATGGAATGATGGGTGGGGCAGACTTGTGCTATAGAAGGTCAGGGAAAAAGTCTGATGGAAAAACAACTTGGCAGATGAGTTTTGCTTCATGCTCAATGTCCGGCTGCGGTCAAAAAAATCCCCCCAATGGTCAAATAGGCTAGGAAATGCTAGCTTGTTTATTCTTCCTTATTTTGGCTCACTTGCTGGAGCCATCTGGATTATTTTACAAAACTATTCACTGAATTGTGAATTAACATTTAATATGATACACATTATTCACTCCTAATCTCTGCTAGTTGCACATTGTTATCAACTGGATGGTGAATGTTAATGTGTTGGAGGTTAATGAGTGTACAACTGTTGCTTTCAAGAGCAAAGGGGTAGACAAAGTGATCACCATTTCATTTTTTAGTTTAACTGCTATCTGTAGGCTAAAGTATGCAGAAAAAAACATATCAGGATTCAGCAAACTAATCTACAGTGGAGTATCAAACCACATCACTGACCTATGCAAGACAACTGCTGCACTAATAATTCTAAGACTTTTTTAACCTCTTAAAAACAAAAAAATGCATGATCATATAGAAGCTGATAACTTAGCTTTGCTTTTACCTTGTGAAAGTTTATGACAGGTTCTGAATGAATCCTGATTAGCTGAAGACAAGATCTATATCCTTGGAAAAGCTGTGCAAATAACCTAAGAAAGACACCTCGCACTTCTTTATCCTGTGAAAAGACAAGCAAATTGAGTGCAACTATCTCCTATTAAACACAAACTAAGAGAAAAATGCCTCCTCTGTCTTTAGGCATAACATACCAAGAGGCGCAACTGGTATGGTAAAGTGTAAAAGTATAAAATCCTTTCATATGAACTCCAATGGCCCAATAAAAACAACAGTCAGAGTGTGACATCTTTGTTTAACATCTAAAGTACATTTTAGAAAGATCTTTCATTAGCTCTTGAAAAGTGAAAGATTTACCTTTCAGTTAGGAATAAAAATGTTCCAAGCTTAGCCTAAACCAGAATTTAACCTATTGCTACTTCTGGACAGCTTCTTGCCAGAATGGATGGCATCACAAAGAGTAATACCAACAATGCCTGGGCTTTGTTACTCATACCTCCTGAGGTATTAAATCTACCTGACATTTAAGGATAAGGAAACATGATGATTCCAATCAGTCTCCTGAGCTCTGCCTTGTTCTCTGATTCTCCCGCTTCATCCCTTGCACATCAAGAAAGTAAGTGGTGCCCAACCAGGTGGGAAGTCCAGATTATCTGTATGAGCAGCAGTTTGGCTGCCAGAAGGATCCATCATCAGTAATCTACTCAGGAAGAAGAAGAGCACAAATCTGCATGTTGAGATTCCTGCATTGAAGGGTTGGACTAGATGGCTCTCAGGGTCCCTTCCGACTCTATCATTCTTTGATTCTTATTAGTTTTCCATTAAAAATGCAGTATTGTGTGTAAGTGGTATTCTGAATTTGCATTAGTGCTAAATTTCAACGATAAAAAGTACAATGTGGGCTTACATCAGAGGACACTGATGAGGTACTGTATAACCTCATAAACCAGTATAAAGATATAGGATGCTAGTCCTATGTAGAGTAGACGCACTGAAATTAATTTCAATGTGTGGCATTAATTTCAATGTGTCTACTCTGAGTAGAACTTGGTTGGATACACTGCCTTGTCAGATAGTGCCCTTCAATTTAATAGCAATTGTAAAAAATATATATGTTAAAATGAAATGATGAAAAAATGTAATAATTATAAGGTATTTATGAAGGATACAGTAAAAGGAAAACCTTCATTTCAGGAAAAGCATTATTTTTTCTGTTTATTACAAAGCTAGAAATAACTGGGTCTTACCAACATTTTGGAATGTGACAGAGCTGTTCGAGGAGGAGGAAATGCATAATCTGCTGTTTCCAAATCTGGATGTAAAACCTACAATTTTAAAGAACAAAAATTCAAAGGAAGCACTCTGTTGGCAACATTTTCCTAAGTTTATTTTTCTTAATATAGACCCTTCCACAAACATATTTCATATTAAGCCTGACAGCAAAGGCTTGCATCCCATTTAGATCCTTACCTCCCCCCTCCTATGAGACTGAACAGACAAAAAGACTCTAAAAAAATATCAAGCAATGACCAGTAAGAAAATAATTATAGCTCAACAATAAAGCAACTCTCAACAATAAAGCAACTATTGGTCTTTTAAGTCTGTAAAGGGGGAAACAGGACAGACAGAGTTGAAGATGTATGTAACAAGGGGTATAAAACAAATAAATGTTTCCTTTACAATTTCCTGGTGATTCTTGCTTTGTATTTATGCTTGGTCTATGTTGGTCTAGCATATTAGTATGAAATATTTGCCTCTTTATGTTATTTGGTAACAAACTGAGAAAACAAAAGTGATGCACTAAAGGGTAATATTGGAAATTAGACTTACTAGAGAGAGGGCAGTTTGAGTCTGGTGGAGTAGTGGTTCGGGGAGCTGGGAGAGATGAATACATTCGGGAATTTTAATTGTACCACCATCCAGATCTGCTATAATTACATCTAACTGAAAGACAATGGCAAATGAATGAAAATGTTATATGAAACTTCACATAATGGATAGGAACACAATTGAAATATTTTTTTAAAAGCAGCAGAAAAATCTCATGGGATGCCTCTTGACAACTGTGTTGTGACCTCTGGTTCTGACTCCCTATTTCAGGGGATGAGGTCATGAATTCACAAGGAGCATCAGCAGGTGAGAGGGAACTACACTGAAAACAGACCTAGACATCCCCACATCCATGAAAGCCCAGGTGTAAGAGAAGCCTGTTTTGCCAGGAAATCTTAGGCTGCTTTCAAATGACCCCAACCCAGAAATCCCCCCCCCCAAAAAAAAACTGCTGCAATGAAGTTGATGACTGTAAAAGCAGGCTAGGCCCTTTTTAACTGAAGAAGCTTTGCTCATCTGGTGGGGTGGGGGCTAGTCACAGAGCTAGGGCTCTACTGAAGGCTCACTGTAGGTTTGCTTGCTGTTGAAGCAACATAATTTGAGCTTCCTCCTCTGATGCTTCAGCCAGAGGGGCACATGGAGCTATCCAGGGTGCTAACTTGCTTTGTCTGAACATGCATCGTTGGAACCTGAACTTGGCTTGGCTTGGCTTAACTTTGCCTCATTGGAACCTGAAACTTGCTTTGCTGACATTGCTTTGCTGAAACCTGAACCCATGCCTAACTCACTCCTGCATGGACCTGTACCTAGAGTGAATGAGAACACCACCTGCAACAAACCACAGTTTTGATGATGTATTAGAAGCAAAATATGGAAACCTGTATCCTGATAAACAGTGCACTACTAGAGGCACAGTTGAAGTGTTGATATTGAATAGAACTGCAGCATGTACTCAACGGATTGATTAGATCAACTAAAGCATTATTATTGACAGACATGTTTCTAAAAAAGCAGGCAGCAGATAAAAAATGTTAAGTATTTATCATAGAATAAATATCTCCTTTTCTCTATTTCACAGGAGGGAAAGGATCTACCAAGATGTTGTGTACTGCAACAAATAAATACGTGCATTATCTAAAAAAATGGATGATAGATAAATTTTAAATAGTAAACCATCTTTTGATTTCTTCTATTTTGTATTTGCATACACTTATGGTTGTTTATGGGATGACTAACAATACATTTAAAACCATTTTATGTCGTTAATTTGCTTTATCCACTTGCTTGTTACAGTTCTTTTTATTATGAAGATGATCTACCTGAATTTTATGCCCAATCATTTCTCTGTATGGCAACATAAGCAGGGATAAACTTGGTTGAATATACTCACAAGTTCATGAATCTCATTACGGAAGACAGAATGCACACCAATAATAAAGGGTGTGGGTGAGCTGAGAACTTCAAGCAGCTGTGCAGGGAGAATTGGAATGTATGGGTAACTGGGGGAAAAGTGAAGGGAAAAACTGTAGCAACTTGTTGAACATAACATATTACATGAAGTAGCTTTCTTATACTTACCATTTCCTATATATACACCTTTTTTTAAAAAAAATTAAAAATCACACACTATTTGCACTATAGCAGCAAACACATATTTATCTACAGAATCACTTGACTCAACCATTTAGAAATTACTTCCCACCCCAACACAATATTATTTATCCATGAGTCACAGATAGAAATATCTGATTTTTGGATTATCAATATTTAGACAGCAAGTATTCATTTAAAATGACTGTCAGTTCACTAGTTAATCTGTATTTTACAGATAACCCTATGTAAATATATTTTAAACAGTTTTGGAATATAAAAGTTATTTCAATAATGTACAGTCTACTAATGTGAAAATTAACAATACAAACTAGGCAAATAATTTATGCTCATTTAAGCAGAAGGAATTCTGAAGATCTGTTAATGGTAATAAGTTGTACCTAGACGAGGTTCATGGCCTTCATAAGTAGTTCGTTATCACCCTGGGTGTTCCCACAGCCACAAATCTATGATGTTGCTAATGCATATTGTGGGCACCCCAGCTATGAATGTTGTTATGCACAAATATTAAAATCTGATAAAGTTGCATCTGATAAAGTGGACTGTAGTCCATGAAGGCTTAAGCTGTAATAAATTTTGTGAGCCTTCAAGAGTGCAATGAGGCTCTTGTTGTTTTTGCTGCAGCAGACTAACAGAGCTACCCCTTTGGAAACACAGTATGAGTGTGACACCTACACACTAACCACGATAGTGTCTGTCCACTTCAGATAGATCTGAACAGATTTAAAATAACAGATTTAAAATAAGACCAACCCTTCCTGGAACTGGGAGGCAGAAAGAGACAACCAGTGAAAGTTGAAATATGTTTAAGCATCTTCAGCACACCAAGTTTCCCCAATGTGCTAAGGTCTACATTGGCTTTAAACCAGATTACATGAGAATCTAATATAATATTGTATTTCTGGAGTTCGAAATCTTAGAAATGTTGAGTATTACATTCTTTAAACACTGTTGTTAATTCTGGCTTTTGAATGCAAAATATAATGCATTTTACTGTATTCCATGTAACAAAACGTATGAATATAACCTGATATAGCTACCAACCTCTTTTGAACAATATATTTGAAAATACGTTTTTCAATCAGGATTCTAATTTTGAATTTCTGAATTTCAGTTCTGATGCTAACTCTTAGTTGAGAATTGATCTCAATGCTTTGAAATGTATTAAAAGGAAGTAAGTTGAATAAGTTGCGTGCAGTAACATAATCTTCTGTAAAAATGTCTAATATCTAATTAGAGGGAGTCCATGTGAAAAACTCACACCAATATGGATTTGGTGTTCCTCAATGCCACGAGTTGCACAAAAGAGCTTACCTATATTTGAGAGGAAACATTAAAGATTCAAGTGCTCTACTGGCATCGCTCAGTCTTTGGAAACTTGCAGAATGAAAGAGGACCTTATTTTCTGTAAGAACTGCGCAGAACAGACTCAGCACATTTTGAATTCCTTTACAAAAAAAACACAAATAAATTTTAGAAGATAGAAATGCACTGCCAAATAAAAGTTAAAATGAAGTAATTAACATTTTTGGAGTCACTTTAGGAAAATCTGTGGTAAGAATATAATATGCTACATCTTGAGGATTTTCTCTTTTCCATGACACTCAAGTTTTGTTTGTTTGTTTCTTTTATTTTAAGGCTGGCCCGCTCCTCTATGATTATTTCCCTATGGTTGGAATATTTTGTGTTAGATGTCTTTCAGGATATTTGATCCTATTTTCCTAACAGTGCTCAATAGTGACCTGAAATGGCATTTTGTACAAGTATTTGCGCTTCCGGAGCCAGGCAAGTGGTTAACTTATCAACCAAGCTTAATGTATCAACCTTTACATAACGGGTCTCTGAATACATTAGGTTGTTGTTGTCAGCGGAAGAACAGAAAATGTCTACTAGAAGTTATCTGTAAAGTATAAACTGAAAGTTTTAAGTCTGAACAGAAGCCAACACAGGTTATGCAAGCGACTGTAAAAGATTAGCTGGCTGTAAAATCTAAACAACTCTCGCATTAATTGAGTTAATGAATCAAATGCTACTAAAAAAAGACAGACAATAACTTATTCCAGACATAAACAGTATACCAATACAATGTCTAAACATTTTAATGCCCTGGGGCCAGCCCTACTATTTGGAAAAGGGAGGCAAAGATCTCAAGCAGCAGCTTGTTTTAGGCACCTTGCTCAGTCATTCCTCCTAAGCCTGCCCCCCACCCATCCTCCTCTGCTGCAGATTGGAGCTATGTGTGCTACATGCATGTCATACACCCTCTAAACTAGCCAGCTGCACAAGGAGGACATTATTCAATTGTTAGCCTTGAAGTAAGTTTCAATTGTCAGTCCAGTCTGCTGCTGTACAGGAGGGTGGGTGGGGAGGAAGAAACACATATTGTCCTTTGCCTCAGGCAGCAAGATGTTTTGGGCCTGCCCTATTAAAGAATGTACTACTACGTTATGTGCTAGATTTGTTTTATTTTTAGAAACTCCAAGTTGCGGTGAGAGTGAAGTGCATAACTTGCAACATGTGGTAGCTGTTAGGTGTCATCATATTTGGAAACACTTCCTCAACGATGGAATTCTGAAGGCATTTTATATGGGATTATTGGTTTGTTGTTCTTATTTTTACTATATATTTTGTGGTTTTATATATTGTGAACTGCCATAAGATCTGCGGATAGGGGGTGGTATACAAATTTAATAACTAACTAACTAACGTACTAACGTACTAACGTACTAACATCACATTAGTTTTTGAAAAATTACTTGCAATAACCTGCTTAGGTCTTAAGTGTCAATGACCTTTTAAGGATCCAATTACAGATTAAAATGCTTACAAGTACTACAATGCTATGGCTTGGAATTCAGACTTTATTCCCACTGGCAGGAGCATCACTGGAGAGGAATTTCACCCATGTGATACTCCTGCTATTGGGAGACAATTTCTGCAGATTCCACCCTCCCCCTACAGTGCCTGCAACTTTAAGGGGTCTAAATTTGGAGAGAGAAATTCTGCTCTTCGGTGCACATCCCTGTGTACATCCCAGTGCATTTAGCTGTTAACTAGAAGGTTGGTGGTTTGAGCTGACCCAGGGACAGCTGTGGGCAGGATTCCTGCATTGCAGGGGGTTGAACTAGATGGCCTTCATGGTCCTTTCCAACTCTGCAATCTTATGATTCTATGAAGAGAATTCCCCCGCCCCCCATCATTGAAACTGTAAATTGTGCAGTCAGTCACTCACACAGCCTAAAACAACTGGGCTTGAGGAAAGCTAAATGCCTTACATGGGGCAGCTTCTATCTTCTTGGGACCGCAGGCTAAACAGAAGCAGCTGACTTCTCAGTCAGCTTGTCAGTCCTCACTGGCTGAGGACCTCTGCCTACATTCTCTACTAGAGCTGATACCGACTGTCAGCATGATGGCAACATGGGATTTCTGGAGATTTGAGGGAAGTAGTATGTGCTTTTTTAACCCACAAGTTTCTTGCATACTTTGGGTGTCATTCTCCACCACCTCCCCTGGTATGCAGGAAATAGCCCCTGACCTGTTGTTTCCCCTGTTTTCTCTCTTGCAGTGTGCAAAAACTACTTTACTGAGAGGAGCAAAAGCAAACAGTGGGGAAGTGTGTTTTTTTTTTAATTACGTGACAGCAATGCATGGCAAAAGATTATGACAAATGAAAGGGTTTGAAAGAAATGGTTTACTTCTAATGCTTTAGCTGCTCAAGAGACTATTAACCCAGATCAACATTTTCCCTTTAAAATCATTCTTATGCACAGAGTTGAATTAGAAGACATACATTGCTTCAACAGATCTTATTTCTATTATAATGCACTCTGGTGATGTTTAAATAAATAGATAATTATAATACCAGCCACACTTATCAGTGCCAAAGATAATTTAAAAGAGCTATATGGGCAGCATAGATAGGTCCCTGCACCCAAGAAACATATGATCTAAAATAGACAGTGAAGAAACAATTGAGGGAAGGGAAGACCAGAAAAGGAAGTGAAGAATGAGTGCAAATGCCATTACAAGTCAGCAGAGAAACCAAAGGCAATGCAGAAAAAAATGGTTCTGGTAGAGAGAGGTGGGCATGATATACAGCAATCAAAGCAATAGTAAAGGTAAAGGTACCCCTGCCCATACGGGCCAGTCTTGACAGACTCTAGGGTTGTGCGCCCATCTCACTCTATAGGCCGGGGGCCAGCGCTGTCCGGAGACACTTCCGGGTCACGTGGCCAGCGTGACGAAGCTACTCTGGTGAGCCAGAGCCGCACACGGAAACGCCGTTTACCTTCCCGCTAGTAAGCGGTCCCTATTTATCTACTTGCACCCAAGGGTGCTTTCGAACTGCTAGGTTGGCAGGCGCTGGGTCCGAACGACGGGAGCGCACCCCGCCGCGGGGATTCGAACCGCTGACCATACAATCGGCAAGTCCTAGGCGCTGAGGTTTTACCCACAGCGCCACCCGCGCCCCTGAATCAAAGCAATACACAGTAGCAAAATCACCAAATACCAACCAATCACACTGGATATACATTTGTGAGCTGCATTCAGTACTCTCAATACAGATACAGCTCCCCAGCATTCCTCTTCTCACTTGGAAGCCTGTTAGCTCACATTCTGCACCCACACTCTGGTTACTCCAATCTCTCACCTAGAAAAAAGCCTATCCACAAACTCGGAGTGGATGGGTGCATGCTCTTGCCCTAATTACATCCTGGTCCGAAATTAGTGGCCTACCACCTCCAAATGAGTAGGCTGCCCCCCCCCGAAACCTGCCATAGCTGGGGCAAATTCTTGCTCTTTACAAGTAGAGCTAGATGGCTAAATCTTCTGGCTCTCAAACAGGCTGCAGTTCTCCAGGTGGAGGTGTAGCAGAAGTGCTGAGGAGCCTACCCTAAATGTGAGTAAAATAAGTGAATCAATGGCAACCACAAACTTTCAGATTCAGTCATTCCTTAATTTTCTTTCTAGAGGTTTTACAGCTCATAAGGCAGGCTCATGATATATCACATTCTGCAAGTAGCTTCCTCTGTAACTCAAAATTGCAGTTGGGGTGAGTAAGCATTTTTCTACCTGCAGGAATTTGTTCTTGGAAGCAAGTAAATATGTTCCATAAGTTTTTCATTTAAACTAATGAAGGGCTTGAGTATATGGTTTCAGCTGTACAAGATCTGGAGTTCATCAATTTCGCCTTCATCACTTGGTGACATTGCAAAAAAACAAAAACCACACACTGAACATGTTACTATTTAGAAGCCAACATTTTACAGAGTTCAAAGACGACAGAGTATGTGAAAGCCAAACAATCCATACAACACTACACATTTTTTAAAAAGAAAGCATGTACGGTATTAAAACACTGAAAGTGTGCTGATCACTAGTATAACTTCCTTTATTTTCTACATAAATAAATGCATCATGCAAATTTTGACAGTTTCTTTGCTTTCGACAGAACTTTTACAATTACCAAAAATTACAGCTTTTTGCATCCCTATAGATGAAATATATCCATGTATATACAACTCTGGTCAACAAGTCGTACAAATCATGCCCACTTCAGCTGCAGCTAACACCTACATGTATTCTGCCCAATACCAAACTGGCTGCTGCTTTAAAAGTAGAACTATTAGACCGTGGGGTTTCTTGCTAGCAGAGCTTTTAAATCTGTGGTTGACCCAGATAAAATGGGACAGTTGAAGGGTAAGATAAATTGTATTTTGTTTTTTAAATCACAAAGCCTGAGTAGAGGGTTATATATTCAGACAATTGGGATCAGTTTCACATACTTTGGATGCCAGATTGTGACTGGGTTGTTGTTCATGTAATTTAACTCTTCACTTCTGACCACTGCTACAATGGTCTTTAAAAATTACTTATGTTCAGATTATCTAAAGCCACTATTTTGGAAAGCGGTTTGTCTGTCCGTCTGTTCTCTATAGGTTTGGATGCCTCTTAAGATATCATTACCAAACCTGGCATGAGGATTCCTGATGTGGGGGTGGCGGTTTTCATTGACTTTGGAACATTCGCTGCCATTGAACCAAAATGGTGGACTGAAACACAACTTTGAAATGACTTTGTCCAATTTGGCGTTAAATGTCCAAACTACATTAATCTGTACACCTCTGAAGAAACTGTCAGCCAGTTTTATGTGACTTTGCCAAATTGGGTGTGACAGTTCAGCTGGCTTTGAAAATATCATTGCTCAATTTGGCATGATGGTTGCCAAGACGGAACCCTCTTTGTCTATATTTGGATGCTAGTTATCATGCAGAATCAAGACAGCAGACCAAACCTAATTAAACATTAGCATACCCACACTTGGTGTGTTTGCATGCAGCGCTAAAACTCATAAATTACTCTATCCATATAAAAATCACAATATTTTCTGGTTTCTTTGACTTTATAGGCAGTGCAAGGCACTTCCTACTACTTACATATATAGTA